ACTGGTTAGGAGTTATCAACTTCGAAGATCTTGAATCCAAGCTAAGCTACTTGTATGATTTGATCAATATTTTGCTAGACATATGCGCGCCCATCAAAACAGTAAAAGTAACAAAGCCACGCTATCCTTGGATCACCCAAAACATTAAGTTCATGATGAGATTGAGAAACAATGCATATATGAAATATAAAAAAGGGGTAAGGGATGCTCTTTCTGCAGATTTGATCAAAGTCAAATGGGTTTATTATAAACAACTCAGAAATTTTGTAAAAGCTTCCATAAGAAGACAAAAAAAAGCCTATATAGAACTGCAGCTTAAAGAAGGTAGAAGTTCCCGTGATTGGTGGCGAACCATCAAACAACTAGGTGTACATAAACCTGTTAAAGATACTTTAGAATGCACATTGCAACCTGATTTAGTGAACAAATATTTCCTAAATTCTATTCCAGATAATTCTGTGGATACCAGTATTATTCATCATTACAATAGCAATGTTTTGCGATCTATAGACAACTTGTTTCAGTTAAAACCGGTCACGAAGGATAAAATATTACAGATTTTCAATAAAATAAATTCTCGGGCGGTTGGACTAGATGGTTTGAATATATAGTAAATATGTTAGCTCTAGTGTTTCCTTTTTGTTCTGAAGCGATTACTCATATAATTAACTATTCGCTTGAAAAAGGGTTAGTTCCTAAAATTTGGAAAGCCGCATGCGGACCTGATGATTATAGACCAATTAGTATCCTTCCAGTGTTATCAAAACTATTAGAAAAAATTGTATATGAGCAATTGATGCAGCACGTCACTACCTTTAAGATAATTCCATCTACGCAGTCGGGGTTTCGAAAAAACCACAGCACCGTAACAACTCTGCTCGATGTCTGTGACGACATCATAGGGGCAATAGATAATTCTAAAGTTACTACTGCTGTCATGATAGATCTAAGTAAGGCCTTTGATTGCCTCAACCATGAACTACTTTTTGCAAAATTTCATTATCTTGGCTTCTCCGATAGTTCTGTTTCAAGGTCAAATGTACGGGCAAAGTTATGAGGTGTGAAATACGCCTAATAGGTGCGCAGAATTATAGCATATATATAGCAAATGAAACATACCCTCTCCCACCCCCTACAACGGGTCGAAAAATATTACTTTTGGATTTCTATGCTATGATAGCGCGGAAAGGTTCCAGTGTTTAACAGCCGATGGATGAAATGGGTGTTGCAGTAATCAGTGCGATATTTGATCTCATCGTCACGGATTTCAGGCAACAATGGGGGAGAAGTAAGCCAAAGTCCATCCACTTGATCATTTCTGAGTAATTTCAGGCACTGAAGTTGACTTGCGGTGGCCTTAATGTTCCTAATGTGTCCCTCTTTGCGTCTTTCTTCCCCGAATTCATAGTTATTGGCAGTCCAAGCTCCCTTTTGTGAGACTTGCTTGATGTTGATGACCATGTGTTCAAACGAATGGTTTTTTCACCCACTTCGCTTAGATTAGCCATGACTCAAGGTGACAAGAACCACATAAGAGATCTTAGACTTAGAGCAATTCTGAAAGAAAGTCAGATCATGAAATTGATATATGAAAGTATTTTAGCGCAAGAGTGGCAGTTGAAAATTTCAGGATTACTGCTGGGCGCCACTTGGGGACATTTCCTTTTTCAATGGAACGGGGGTCGCCTATCTAATTACCAGCTGTCAAAATATAGGCCGGCAGGCTATGAAAGTTGAAACAACTAACCATCAAAGTGCGGTAGAATATGGGACACCCTGTTGACTTGTCAATTAAATGGAATATACCACCTTTTATGACATATTCAGATAGACCCTTCTAAGAGAAGAATATTGATATAACGTACTATGGTTTTTTGATGACTGTTTGTTGACCTATAAGCAAGTCAATGCACAAAAACCTTCAACTTTGGCAGCCTGCCAATTCTCTATTTCTACAACAAGCTTTTATCCAACTTGACCTGTTTGTTAGTATTTTTGTATGTTAGTATTTTGTATGTGTAGGGCAAATTTTGGGAATGAATTTTGAACCAATTAACCTTAACCAATTGAGCTGAAATATTGTACACGCATTTGGTTTGCGTGACAATACAAAATGAATTAACCGCCCTCATTTTGATTTGAGAATGGCGGATGCTAAAAAAGGGGATTCATTTTCTTTCAGAGTCCCCCTATGTTATGGGTATCAAATGGAAGTGCTTGATGTGAGAGATGTTATAAGTAGAGTATCGTCATTATAAATCCAATATGACAGCCGCTCGAAAATGGCCTTCATAATTACCAAAGTCATCACTATGACACAGGTATCAAGTTAAGAGGCTATATGAGAGGAACATAACTGAGTGACAGAAAAAGGTAAATAAATGCCTACGTACGTTTGTCCTATTTTAATATTTTTTGGCATTTATGTTTAGGGTCGATTACCAGCCAACTAGCAAAGTAGTGCTATAAGCTTTTGGTAAAAGAACCGTTCAGCCATAAGAGTTCTCTATTGTTGTTGCCTGAACACCAAAATGCTGGCTTAATGTTGTGTGGAATGCAAATCTGCTTTCTGCAACATATTTGCTCTATAATGAGGTATTTAAAATATTCTTATAGCATAGTTACACAACACCTTATAGGACAAATTTTCAACTGTTGCATAAACGTGTATACAACTATTTTATACGGCATATTTGCAGGATAGTCAAAATGGTTGTGTGGTGGCATCCATGGTAACGTTTATAAAACAAACCCGAGCCTTGTTGTTTTGCTGTGGAAATTTACTACCTTATCCAACAAATTACTCTCAACGGAACCACTTATACAACTATTGTTTAGTAACTGTTAAAGGCTGTACATATGCTAAATATGTTGGTATACAACTTCACCATAACCTAACTTTCTGCTGTCATATTTTTGTTAAAATGCCATAACCAATCTTTTAAGACAAACAACGCATGCATATTGGTTAAAAAGATTTTATCAACTGTTCAAACAGAAGATATAGACCTGGTACAAATTCTAGGTAAATCATTCGACTCTGTCGGTATTTCATTTCTGACATTTGTCAAATTGTTGTATAACACCTGCAGGCAACACCAAAATATTCTAATAAACTAAAGAGAACACGGACGATGCCATGATTATACACAACCACTCGCCATATTGGGCAAACATTTATTCCTCTATTTGATATTAAATAATTGTTTCAGTTCGTAAATTACAGATATAAAGTGATAAACATTAGTGTAATTGTGTCTAAATATAGGATTTGTGGAAGATTTAACGCAGATATGTTCAGTTTTCCATCCTAAAAATCTAGACATACTTTTGATCATTATCAAAATATGAATCAAATACGAAGCCCGTAGAAATTGCGTAACTACTTTGCACGATAATGACAATATAATTTGCTGCGCAAGTAATTCAATAGCCCTATATCACAGTGTAGAAGTTTATCATATACCTGTGTATGAAAATCACAACGGCCAATATGTAAGTAAACAAGATGTCTGTATTGTGTTAGTTATATATATTATTCACTTCGTCTATACATAAGAAATAGTTTGGTTGCAATAAAGTAGAATCACGTAACAGAATAGTTGTATAGTTGACAAAAACTGAATCTTGCACTGACGCAAATGTCCTATAGCGGCTGCAAGAGGCTTACACTTTTGTTGTATAACTGTTACCTGCAACCTCTTAAATGACTGAAGTGTCCTATTGGGTGTGCCCATTCCGCTTGTATAGCTGTTCTAAGAGGGTTTTGCCAATGTTCTTACAGTATACAATTCTGTGTAAGGAATACTGTATAATCATTCTTGCAACTCTAATAGCAGTGATAATTGTTAGTTGGGCAGTAAAATGACTAAATTTTCAGCTTGATTCGTCAACTTATTGCAGAAGCTGGTCCAATAAAGTGTTCTTATATACTCATTGACACCCCTGGGCATCGTGCCTATAAGGTGGTCGATTTCCTGTTGGAGTATCTTATTCCAGGCTACTGCAACTTCGTGAGTAAGCTGCTGAAGTCTATGGAGTGCATTGCAAATTCAAGAGCTTGCGATCTATTAGGCACATTTGGTAACTACTTCCCTCAAATCCTCTGGATTTCGGAAACGTCAAATACAAGTATAGATGGTTCCTAAATAACATAAACATTGCGGGTGAAGCTTCTATACCTATCAAAAAGCTCATTAAAATAACTAGACAGCCCCCATCACCCTGATGGGATTTTGAATGTATGGAAGCTCTTAATCAAACGACGGGAGCACTCAGAGCGTATAAAGCTGCAAGTACTGTAGAAAATTGTATGCATTGAAGGAGCAAAAAATATTCTTAATACGAAGGACAGAAATAAGTAGAAGTACTGGATAGGGGCTTAAATAAGAATATTTTCAATAAAGCTTTATGGCAGTAAGCTGAAATTTTGCAGCATATCCAACCAGATTCTGGTTGGCAAATTTGTACAAGCTTTAGTTGGGAGGAAGATCTGTGAAACAACTTTACATCTCGGGTGAGCATTATAATGGAGTAGACGTGTTTGTACCGTGCTGCTAAAGAAGTCAAAATTATATGGCAAATTGTGCGTGAAAATTCCCCGTTTTTGGTGTCCGATCAGTGATAGTTTCTAGTCGTAAGTGCTCAAGTTTATCCAGGTTCTATCTGTTCCTGACCAGCATTTAATTGCATATAACCCGTTCATGATGTCTATAACAAGGCAGGCTGGTAAGAAAAGTGAGGATGAATTGCACATGATAGTTAAGGAGTCAGTTACTAAACTGTGCACGTCTGAAGAATTTATACGACAGTTAACTTCTTCAATTACATAAGCTATTGGGCAGGAACTGAAAAATGACATAGATGTTCTAAAGGAACAGCACAAGGAAACAACGTCAAAACTGCAGGCTCATGATGAACAAATTGACACAATACTCTCTGAACAGGATAAGCTGAACCAATACACTAGAAGAAATACATTGAGATTTTACAGTGTTCAGGAAAAAAGGCAGGAAAATTGCATGGAAGAGATATTACAATCAGTGAAGGATAAACTGGACGTAGAAATTAATCCATCTTCTGTGGAAAGTTGTTTTAGACTAGGTAAACCTGATAGAAGCAAGTCAAGGCCTATCCTAGTTAAACTGGCTTCATCCTTCTACAAGAATCTCATATTTTATAAGAAAAAACTACTGAAGTCTACTGGCATCGTTATCAGGGAGGATCTGACGCCAAATCGATTTCAGCTTATGAAAGACGTCATTAACAAGGTGGAAAAACGTGGAAAAGTGTGGACTAACAATGGCACAATTTTCTGTAAGTACGACGGTGAAATGAAATCTGTAAAAATTAACAAAGTCGCCGACTTACGCAATTTGTAGTTATAGGGATTTAATTAGCAGTATGTAGTGCAAATGAGTCGCTCCCATACTATGTTCATTGTACCGGTTTTTGTTTGATTTTTTAGGATAGTTATTTTTGCAGGGAATATTATACTACTAGTAAGGTTATTTAGTATTTTAGCTTCAGCTAGCTCATACACAAGGATTGAGTTATTTTAGTTACTCTTAGTTTTTTGCAGTATTACTGTTTTTGCCTATTACATGAAATACATAAAAATCGGATGTTTAAATATTAGATCTATCGTACCATCTCTGAATGAATTGAAAATTATTCTTGGCAATGTAAAATTTGATATATTTTTTGTTTGTGAAACATGGTTGAGAAATAGTATTGATGACGCATCTATTAATTGCAGTGGTTTTAGTATTTTAAAGAAAGATCGGGGTACAAAAGGAGGTGGTCTGTTAGCTTATGTTAAGGAATGTTACACTTTCGACTTAATAGATACAAGTGATTTATTTAGTGAACAGCTTTGGTTAAAAATTGTAATCAACGAAAAATCGTACGGTTTTGGTTTAATATACAGGCCTCCGAATATGTATGTTAATAGTTTTCTAGATGAATTTGAATGTGTTTTGAGTACGATTTATCCAACAGTTGATGAAGTCATATGCACTGGAGATTTTAATATTAATAGCACATTTGCATATCCGACTTCCAGAATGGATAAGACAAACTGGATGCGAAACTAATGTCTAGCTTTGAATCTCAAGTAAGCATATTTGAGACAAGAATCCAATGGAACTATCATCAACACATACAACTTACAGCTTAGACTTCCAGTAATGCCATCTCCGAAGCAAATTTTACACCACGTCAGAGCCAAACATTGATAGCTGAAGCCTTAAGACGTTTAGGCAACACGTACAACTAAGTGCTAAGTTAACATCTCGTAGAAAAACCTAAATAATGTCAAAGAGAGCTGGTACACCTATAATGTGAAAAAAATCGATATAACGTCACTGTTCAAGATATGTTCTACCCATGCGTCTTAATAGCGTATACATATCTATGTTGGGGAATATATCAAAAAATGCCTTAATGTTTCCTGTTTTAATTTTCAATGACATTTATGTTATTGATGAGCATCTATCCACATGGAAAAAAACTGATTGTGGTAACCATCTCGAGATCAGGAAGAAACGCCAATCTCGCACAGTCGTACAGCGCTATATACCTTTTGTCTTGTATATTTGAAACCTTGGAACGAATAATGAAAGGCTCGAATGGCATCTGATAATTTAACAGGTCCTTCCGGAATCTCACTACAGACACAGCCTCTACTGGTATACAGCGTGACGATTCACGAATATATCCTATATGGGAGCAGTCCGTTTAAACATAAAAGGTGCAATCGGCTATGTTTGCTTGCATCTCTCAATTTTGGAGCTCGTGCATACACATATCAGTACCTCCAAATGTAGCACACACACACACTATCATTAATTTGTTCTCAGAAAGGTTGGCTTATCTCAGGTTACATGACAATAAACTAATTAGTCCAGGATTGACTTTAATTGGTATTCCGCAAAAGGCTGTTCTAAGCCCTATTTTTTTCAACATATGCACCAGGGATCTATATGGTACAATTGCCAATGTTTACGTCATCCATAATGCTGACGACTTCTGCATATATATATAAGCAACCTAAGTAACACGAGATCTGTAAAAGCCATCTTGTGGTAGCAATCAAACCCATGGTCAACATTCAATGGACTCACCATCGTACCAGATAAGTCTATACTATGTATGCACTGGACATAATTGTGAAGAATCGCATGACATTGAGCTAGGGGATGTAACAATGCTATTCGTTAGACAAGATCGCTATTTATAAATCGATCTGGATAAAGTTAACCTGGAAGCCATTTGTGGCTAGATGCCAGAAAGGTCTCAATTTTCTAAGGTCAATCCTGAAAGTTTATTTGGGAGCAAGTCGAAACATAGGAATTCTCTTTTGTAAAGGATATATATTTTATATGGTTCGGGTGTCCTAATCGATTAAAGCAGCCTGATACTATTCAAAATGAAGCATTTCTGGGTGTAATGCCATCAACATCCATTATGCCACTGCATGTATTCAACATTACTAGCTAAAGAAAGTTTCGTTGGAATTGGAAGTCAAGCATTCCTCACTCCTCAACAAAGTTACTAAATGGGCTTGATTAGACCTTGTAGATAAATACTGGCGCACCAGAGGTAGGTCACCGCTTTCTCAGGCCATTATAGAAATATTCCATTTGTTGCCAACTCCACACAGAACCTACAGAATCACATCGTAATATCATCATGCCTACATATAGTAATAATGTTACAACCAACAAAAATACCTTACATAATATCATAGACAGACACTGTGGATATAATTCATAATATAGGAAGTTGCCAGGATATTCGCTATATGGGAAGATTACTTAAAATACGAGTGCATATACAGATGGATCCAGTACAGAAGGGACTGGATGTGCATTATTAATACTAAAACAGGATACTTCGATAAAATATAGATTACCGGAGGTGTACTCTATATATATATTGCTCCGAGCATATGCAATAGCCCAGGCGTTAGATTATCTGTCCGACAAAACAAAATAATATTGATCAGTGACTTTTTGTTTGTTATTGGGACATTTCAAACAAGCGTACCGCCTCCAGCTAATATTCATCCAATTATACGATATACAAAACCTAAATCATGCAGCCAAGGTAAAAATGTTGTTTTTTAAGGTTCTATACAATAAATCTGGGGACAAATTGGCTAAAAAAGCCGTACTAGAAAGTGCTTATGCAACCCAGTTAACATGCATAGGGAACTGCAACAGCAGGAACAAAATAAACATAAAAAACTATGACAATAAATTCACCAACGATATCGTTCTAGTACCTCAACTCAGTATTATGTGTCCTGGCGTCTGACATTAGGAGACGGCTATTTTCCAGCATTTTTAGCTAGAACTGGTACTATTGATTCAGACTTGTTGATATATTTTTTGAATGTCAGAAATGTACTCAACAGCAAGCACAGTTCCGAGAAAGCGTCCGAAAATATGGCCTCCTCGACATCTTCAATATGGTTTACGTCTTGTCGTTTGATGATGCACAATAATATAAGCATTCTGGAAGAGACAAACATCCAGATTTAGCTGTTGTTTGTCCGTGTTTATCCCTTTCTGTTATACCCATCTTACTGAAGCCCGTGTTACGTGCATTAAATGGCGTGAGAGGTCCCTTGGCGACAGGGTTTGTGTTCCCTCTTAACCTCCTCGCTCTTCTTCTATATTTGTTTCACTGTCGTTAGGTTTTCAAAATACATATAATTACAAACAGATGTGTACAACCATTAATATTAAAAGTATCAATTTATACTACTATTATCCAAACCTGTGTTAATACATTGAGGGCCAATTTCACCAAATATTTACCGGTCCCTTGGACCAATGGAAAAATACCTTATCGAAATGCAACTTGACAGAAGCTGTCAAAGGTCTCTGAATGTCAGTGATTTCTATTAAAATATTGAATAAAATCATGAAAATTCGACTGTATTATAAACACGACCACTTTTTTATTCCAACATGATGCTTTTGTACAGAGAAAACTTTCATGTACTTTGATTTCTGTTATAAATTTACATTTAACAATCAGTTATCCTCAAAACCAATGGGCATGAGGCAAATAATAGATCGATTTTCTAGCTGCTTGATTTAAAAGCAGGTTTGGATGTTTGTTAATTTATAACAATCTCGAATTTGTTAAGTTCCTCATATTCCTTTACATCATAATAATAATCACTTATTACTTTATGGGTTAATGCATTTCTTCAAAGCAATAAAAACATTATGTCTTATCCATCCTAAACCACAAATCATATGTGTAAGACGTGTCAATCCCTACATCTCCGTGATGAATAATGCAATTACTATCGACATAGACAAAAAATCATGAAAAATGTCTCACAAATAATGTCTTTAAAGACCAAAAATCATAAAAACTGATAATATTTCTTGTTTGTTTGCCTTTTTGACTGGAGGGGATATCTATCTGTCGCTCGCAGGATTGCCAAGTCTAACGACGATCACGTCCCGTGGTGCAAAATGAATCCGTCACATTTGCTAGTTTTGAATTTAAAGTAGGAACACAAACATAGTACTTATGATACTTGGAGCTAGACTGATATCACTTCTTGAAGAATATTTGAAAAGTGTGAACACTATCATGGTCTGTCGTATTTTCAAATTGCAAATGAAGTATCTGAAAATTCTTGCATACAGTGGACCTTCGTCATAGTTTACTATCCTGATTATGATCTTCTTTGGCAGATGTGTTGTATCATCAAAATGATGAACAAATATAAGAAAGCTCTAATATACCTACGTACAGCGGATTTTTTATGAAAATTTACTAGGTATCATGATTTAACTATCTATGGTAGATCGTTCGATCAGAAATTGGAAAGATCTCCTATTTATGAAAATATTTTTGGTATCATCTAACCGTTGCAATCAGTGCAAAAAAACTGTGACATATGATTTACAGCATAATCCGCTGCCCTATCAACACAAATTTAACATACAGGTCGCCTAGCCGTGGGGATGCAGTGGTCGGGATGAATATCACGGCAGCAACTGATGATTTGAGCATGTCTGGTAACAACGTATGAAGTGAAACTCTCTAACTTCACAAATTTGAAGATTTTGTAC